GTCTGTATACACGTACGGATAGATTCAAGAACAACTTTTTTCCTATTAGACTTGAATGAACCTCTCAAATTCTAAATTTAATGTTGATCTCACTCTTTCTTCACCTTCTCTGCAGTAGTAGCACTGTATTTTTTGCTCTGATCTATTACTGTAATGCACTTTGTGTGGTATGATCTGCTTGCACAGCAAGCAAAACAGAACTTATCACTGTACCTATGCATATATGACAAGAATAAATTAAACCAAATCAAATCAGTGTTTCAAGAGGGAGGCTCACCAGTACCTTCTCAAGGTCAATGCAAGATGAATAACAAAGACCGTCTCACGTTCCAAGAAGTAAGAATGAAAGTTTTAAAGAGATAAAATAAATAAATTCTGAAAAAGTAATCATGGCTGGGGCGATCTTTTTTTTCAATGTATCAAAAAGCAGGTTCCACAGCTAAATGCACATCTCTCTGTTGTGTATGGACTTATGGAACAAGAACACGTGTAGCCTATTCAGCCCCTCGAGCCTGCTGTGCCATTAAATAAGATTATGCTGTTCTGTTTAAGTTTTGAATTCCACATTCAATCGATTCCAAATGTCCCTCTATTCCCCATCATAGAAGAAACTATCAATATCTGTGTTGAAAATATTGAAGGATTCTGGGTCCACTACCTTCTGAGGCTCTGAATTCTAACTTCATACGAACCACAAAGAAACAGGAAAGAAATTTCCCATTTCTTTCTCAAATGGCGAGGCCCAACTTCAAAACAGAGAAAACAGACATTAGAAACACTTTTCAAACAAAGGGTGGGAGAGGTTTGGAAATCTTTTCTACAAACTGCAGTTTTTACTCGATCAATTGTTCAATTTTGGAAATTAACATTTTTTTGGTTGCACAATCGTATGAAGTCATACGGGCTGGAGACAAGTCAGTGGAGTTGGGTCACCGATCAGCCATGATCTCAGTGAAAGGCACAACGGGCACGAAGTGCTGAGTGACCTATTGCTGCTCGTATGTACGCTATAACATAACAATTCACAATAGGTTTGACTGCAACTATTAGACAAACAGATATATTAATTAAATAAAATGAAGAGCTGTAGATGTTGGAGATCTGATACAAACAGAAACCAAACCAGCTGGAGGAACTCAGCAGGCTGGCAGCATCTGTGGAGGGAGAAACTGAGTTAATGTTTTGAGTCCAGTAACCCTGTCTGAAACCTACCTGGAACACCAAAGGTTGCGAGCACAGGATAGAAGATATTCTTTATCTGTAAAATTATTGGCTGCACCATTCTTTAGAAGAATGCTCACTTCCTGCCTCGCTCCATCGTTTCGATGAGAATGAATTAGAGATGAGCAAGGGTTTCCCTTTTATAGCACAGCTTGAGACCAACCGTGAAATGAGTTTGCATTATGTAAGGCCTTAATTAGGCATTTAACTTTTAGCTAAGTCTGGGGAGAAGGACGGTGGAAACATTGTCCATGAAAATTTTGGACTCAAAATTCATCACAAGGAAGAGCATTGATGAATAAGTGTGTAATTAAAATATGAGAAACATCAATAAAGATTATGAAACTACCACTTTACTGTTAAAAATAATCTGATTTGTGATTTGGAAACATCCACAGACCTTCCCTGGACTTGCTTACATTTGACTGTCATGTATCTGTCCCTAACTACCCACTAAAACAACAAAGTTAATCAACTCACTCCAAGTGATTCAAGTACATATAAAGCCCCAGGCCAGTATACAGCCCAGCCATTTCATCCAGCAGGGTCATCCTCCTCAATGTCTGGGGTACTGGTAGTGATTAGGGAATATCCAGCAATGGTGTATTAAAGGGTGAGGAAGAAATGATGTGTCAGAGAAAGCAAAATGGTGAGACAGTGAAGGATTGAAAAAGAGACAGGATGAGTGATAGAGAGAGCAGCAAAGAGATAGGGACAGTGGCACATGTGCGCACGCGCGCGCATACACACACACACACACACACACACACACTCACACACACACACACACACACACTCACACACACACAGAGTGAGACAGAAAGAGAGAGAGAGAGACGGGTCATCATAACTACATAAAGAAGCAGAATCCATAATCTGCTCGCAAAAATTGTGTGAACTGAAACGCCATGAGTTCCATCCTGCGATCTCAATTTATTACAATTGACAAATCACTGACCACACTCTTGTTGTCATTGGCCAATCTTGTACATCACTAAATTCATTCTCACCATCACTGTCCCTCCATATATATCACTGACCTCACTGTTATTGTCACTGTCCATTCGGATACCTCACTGACCTCACAACTAACATCACTTAAATTGGCACTCCTTTTTTCTTACACTGTGTTCCCTAGCTCTAGGTTCTCCTGTGTTCTGAAGTATCCTGGAAATATTTACCCTGTCAAGACTCTTCGTAATCTACAAGAAGAGATCATTCATTTAGGACGGACATGAGCAGGAATTTCTTCCCTCAGAGGATTGTGAATCTTGGAAATTCTTATCACAGAGAGCTGTGAGCCAGCCATTGATATGTAAGGTTCAGATTCTTGACAAATTGGGGAATGAAGTATTATGGGGAACAGGCAGGAAAGTGGACGTGAGGAATACCATGATCCAACTGAATAGCGAAGCAAGCTCGAGGGGCCGAATGGCCCACTTCTGCTCCCGGATCCAATGGCTCATACCGTCTCATTAACCAAAGTGCCCTATTTTAAGCTCTTCAACTCCTTAGGATGTGTGATGCTTTCAAGGCAGAAGAAAAGGCCCAGTGGCATTGTTACCAGACTCGAAATCTGAAACATTGTTAATATTGTGGGGAGCTGCTTTCAAATCTTACCATGGTAAACAATTGCATTTTAATTTGAAAAATAACAATCTGATGACCATGTCACCATTATTGATTGTCAGAAAAACTCTTGTTGTGCACTAATGTCCTCTAAGGAATTAAATTAGCGATTCTTATACGATCTGAGCTCCATGTGACTCCAGTCCCAGAACTGTGTGGTTGACTCTTAACTGTACTTTGGAGTAATTAGAGGTGGGTAATAAATGCTCATGTAGTCAGCAACACGCACATCCTGTGAATGGCCGAAACAAAAGATGATAATTTTTTCTAGCAAACACTGACCCGTGTTTTAAGTCGCTACATGTCCTTTTCTCAGTGAGGTGTGTCTTGGTTAAGAGACACCTCTAACGATGGAAGACACAGGACAGATTTTCTTAATACAGAGATCAGAACGAGAAATGTAATGAATAAGTAAAAGGAAAGGACACAGAGTGCTGTGAATATGAAGTGAGTCGTCCAAACCAAGACAGTATAAGAGTAAAATACTTGCTTTGAAGATAGCTCATATTTATTGAGAAACATTAACTCCCGTCCTATCTCGACAGCTGCTTCTTGTTGAGGAACCTAATTCCAGCCTTTTCAGTTTTTGTTTTAGATCTCGAGCATTCATCGTAGTTTACCGTTAATTTATCCATAATTGATTATGTTAATACGAATTAAATGACAGAATTAGTATTTCCTTTCTCTCAGCCTGGAAATGATTTCTTCAATGACAGCACTCTTTGCACTTTGGCAGTGTACCTTTCTGTATAACAGGAAGGACACTGTCAAAATGAAGTCCACCAAACCTAATGTTCTGTGTTGTTAAATCTTTTAATTTCGATGTTTTGACGTGTTTCTTCCCGAAATGGACCTCAATACCTTTTTGACATTTATTGACTCCTGAAGACGTGTTGACATTTGCAATGGTGTGACGATCCAGTGGCTTTGAGAGATTCATTTTCTTCCCTTTTGTTTTGATGAGATATTTCAATCTAGTGGTATCGAATTGTTTCTTCCAAACCAATAAAGTAATCAGCTTGCGAAACCCTGTTTCTTTTCTTAATATAGATAAAAGAAGCATGCTGAATGGGTGCAGTCAGGTTGTCACAGAACCAGTGTTTTAACTTAGCTTTCAGTTGCTGGGGTTCTGAAGTTGGCTGTCGAAGCTGTCATACATCTCTCTCAGTCACAGCAAAAAGCTTGAGTCTCTCTCTCTCTCTCTCCCCTGCCAGAACTTTCCCTTGGTGCTCTTTCCTCCTGGGCTGGGGAAGCATCACGCGTAAGGCAATATATTTCACTGAGTGTGCCTTTGCCAAAGGGTATGTTTATACGATGTTGCCCTTTTGGAACAGATGCTATTTAGTGCATAACTGGACTACTATTCTGCTAAGGTTTCGAATAGAGTTAACGTTATAGCAATTGTTCTTCGTATTTTAGCAGGTGTAAGAATAAAGTATGTTTTCCTTAAAGCTAAGCAGCATGACCACTCGAATTCCATTTGGAACACAGCACCTTACACTTGCCTTTAAGTAAGATAAAAGTTAGGGTCTAGGCTATCTCCTTGATATATTTGAAGGGGTTTGGCGTGGTCCATAACAAATTGGGGGCGTGTCCGCGATCGCAATCTCTGACTCCAGCTGGATTTGAGGATGATGTGACTCAAATGCAGTGATTAGCGAGTGTTGCTTTTTTTCGGGTCATGTATTCAGTTGTTTTAACTGAGGAGTCTCTTGTGTAATAATGGTATTTTCAGTGTGGAAGAAATCGTTCGGTATGTTTTCCAGAAAGTGAGCAAGGCAAAGCTTTTTGTGTTGGCAAGCAAGTTGAAGTAGTGTTTGCGAAGAAAGTGGAAATAATTGCAGCAAGAGCCCAGCATCTGCAGGAATACAATAGGAATCATTGGAAATTGGGAACATTCAATTGCAAACGAAGCAGCTTGAATTACAGGCAATGCCAAGGGAGAAAGAAAATGAAGGAATAGATCGAGCAGTATGAAAAGGAAAGGAAAGAATAGTCCTAGCAGAACAGAAAGAAAGGGAAAATAAGACTAGCTCTGGCAGAAGGAAAGAAAAAGGAAAGAATGGCCCTTGCAGAATAAAATGAGATAGAAAAGGAAATTTTTTCACAGTTTGAATGAAGATTAAAAAGAGGGCAGAGAAAATGAAAGGATGGCCCTAGCACAAGAAAGGGGGAAACAGAAAGATTTTGAACTTCAGAAGTTGGCAATGAAAGAGGAAAGTCGACTGAATTTGCAAAGGTAGAAGGGATGACTAGTGATGAGGGCACTGACAAAGGGCAGACCCATCGTAGCCAAAAGCCTGATGGGGATCTGTTTGAATATGTCCAAGCGTTACCAAAGTTCGGAGAGAAATAAGTAGAACCTTTTTGTTCAAATTTCATTTGGGAAACTGGCTAAACGATTTAAATGGCCGTTGACCATGTGGGTATTGTTGATTCAAACAAAGATGGTAAGTACAGCTATTGAGGTTTTTCACATCACTATCAGAGGAGGCCTCTGGGGACTATGGTTAGGTGAAAAAGGCCATCTTAAATCTATTTGAACTAGTGCCAGAAGCCTACATACAACGTCTTATGAATATAAGGAGGGAACCTGCTCAAACGTGCATACAAATGAAAGGATCAAATGAAGTATCTTTGAGAAGTGGATAAGGGCATTGAAAATAGATTAGACATATGACTTTCTTAGAGAGACTGTTATTTTGTTGGAGTTCAAAAATTCACTTCCTGAAGTAATGCGAACTCATGTGGAAGAGCAGAGAATTAAAATTGTAAGATGAACAACAAAAATGGCAGATGATTATGAGTCAGTTCATTAGTCAAAACTGGACTTCCGACATCAATGTTAATTTGTGAAGGATAGAAATTGGGGAAAGCAGAAATCACAGGTAAGATGGCCTTAGGTTTTCTTTTCTTCCAGTTGGAGAAACATCATGTGAGACAATCTATTTACTGAATTTGACTTTGCCAAGGGTGTTTTTATTCAATGTTATTATATTCGAACAATTTTGCAGTTAAACAGTCTAACATTCTGTTAGTTTTATCAAAAGAGTTAAAATTATAAAAATTCTTCTTTCTTTTGTTTGTATTTTAAATGAGTTTATGCAGAAAACTTGGTTTGCTGAAAGCTGAGTAGCATGACCACTCGCATTACATATGCAAGACAGTACCTTACACTTGCCTTCAAACAAGATTAAAGTTCGGGTCTAGGCTATGTTCTTCGCATATTTGAACAGAGGTTGCCTGGCCCACAATAATGATGTGAGAAATTTGAGAATCTGCTCCACTAGCCCTCTAAATCCCTTCGCACTTCCTCGGCACTTGTGTTCTGAGGTTGACTTGGAAAATCCATATTCCCTCCAAAATGTAGCCACTTAACTATCGTGTGATGAAATGTCACTTTCCAACTTCATCCAGTAATAATGTCTTACTCTGTTATTTTATGATGTTCCTCGTCTAGTTTCACTTTTCTTTCAATTTCGCTCTGTCTTCCAATCTTAAAAGAGTATCTCTGTTTCCTGATCTTATATTATTCCTGCAAATGGTAAAGGACAGCGTTCCTACAGCTTTTTTTTAATGTAACACCAATTCTCACTTTCCACCAGACCACTTCAATACCTTTTGCCTCGAATTGTTAGTTTCTGTGTTTTTTTTTGCGGCTGACTTGCAGTCCACCTTTCTTCAATACGAAGGTTATCTTACTGTTCAGGATGTTGGATGCCTTGCAGGAATTTGCGAAAATTAAAACTACGTTCCTCTCTGTATTGCTCTTGTAATTTATTCCCAGCTTAGAGCTGCAGACCAGAGTCCAATAATTACTAGTGTGCAGAAGCAGGCCATTAGGCCCATTGATTCTGTCCGAGCTCTGAAGTAGTGGTCTTTCTCTTAAGCACTGCTTTTTTAAAATTAAATGGAGTCGGCCTCATTAGGGGCATTTAAGCGGCTATACGTAGGCATATGGATGATAGTATAAAGTAAGGGTGGAGGTTAGATAGACCTTAGCTTTAGGGTAAAAGTTCGGCACAACATCGTGGACCAAAGGGCCTGTCCTGTGCTGTACTCTTCTATGTTCTATGTTCTATCTGCGAAGAGAACTGTTCTGATGAAGGGTCACTGGACCTGAAACGTAAACTCTGGTTTCTCTCCGCAGATGCTGCTGAGTCCACTGAGCTTTTCCAGAAATAAAAACAGAAATCGTTGAAAAAGCTCAGCATCTGTGGAGAGAAGATTTCTGATGCAGGGTCACTGGAACTAAAATGTTAACTTTGATTTCTCTCCACAGACGCTGCCGGATCCACTGAGCTTTTCCAGTGTTTTCGGTTTTTGTCTCTGATTCGCAGCATCTGCATTTCTTCTGCTTTTAATATTGCTACAATGCAGAATGGAGGAATGCAGTTTTTGACACGTTTTTCCACTTCTGGCCACCCGTGCTGACTGAGTTCCAGAGCCAAGCTGAACCCTTCTCTGTTCCTGTATCCATTCCAATACAATGCTATTTAATTGACATTGTCCCTCCTCAGGCGAACATCCAAAAATCATCAACTCAGAATATCACTCTATTTCAAATGCAGGAAGGCAAGAGACAAAAATGTACCAAATATGAGATATGTTTTAGCCTGCGAGGCAGGACTCATGATTCTGAAGCAGTCAGTCAGACAGACTGTTTAAACGCAAATTCCTCGTCCCTTCTTATGGCACCGGCCCAGTTCAAAATCTTCGAACAGTTTGTGTCTCTCTGTTCACGAGAATGTTCTCAGGCAATGTCACTTGCTCTACACGGACTCAAGTCAGGGTAAGAGAATGGACAAATGTTACAAATATTTTCTAATCAATCTTTTCAGGAACGTTGTTGCACCCTCTGGAGCAGGAGGGAATTGAATCCAGATCGCCTGACTCAGAATGAGGGGAACTTTCCACTTCTTAAAGGAGCTCCCCCAAACCCCGACCCGCACCCCAGAGAGAAGGATATTTTTAACGAGCTGAATTCCCAGCTGCTGTGTCAGAGAGGCAGCTTTTTTTCAGAGTTTCTGAGTCATTCGGTTCTCGGGTGTCATGAAAGCTGAACTCTGTAATGGTGCAGTCAACGGGACTTTTGCAGAACTATCATTTAAAACTGTGGAGTAACATCACACACGCATTCACAATCTTAGATTTTCTCTCTTTCGCAAACACACAAGTTAGAACCACTCCCCCGCTCTCTCACACACACATATACACACTCGCATATGCACTCACAATCACACACACTAACTGACTGACTTATACGTTTATTCATTCACAGACACCCTTACACAAACACTGACACAAACACAAGCAAACTCATTCACTCAACGCAGACACATTGAAAGAATCACGTGCACACACACAAACACATTCACACACACAATGAATCAAATGGTCAAACACGTACACACACTTTCTCGCTTACACCCACACCACACATTCGCACCTGAGAAGCACCCCACAAATTCACAGCTTCAGGTTTTGCTATAAGGCTTGCACAGGATTTGTACAATTTTATCAACATATTTCCCTTATTTTCACCTTACATTTTGAAATCCGCGCTATGCATTTCACTACAACTTTTAGTCAACTTGCTGTTTTAAAGTCACGACATTTCCATGAAGCCAACAAAGTGGGCATCGATACCAAATACAGGAATGTCAATGAGATTTAAAGGATGATATAATCAATGTGAAATGTACAAAGTGAGAAAAAAGGAGCGAAATTTACACAGTGTGCAAATTAGACTAGAATTATCAGAGTGGGGATGGAGAAGAAGAAGTATACAGGGTAGACAAACGATTTAGAATCCCACAGAGTCGAGCAGTGGTATTTTGAGTGATGGTTCAAGAGGGAAATTTGCAAAGTCAGTGAAGTGAAACGGGCTTTACCGAATATTGGAATGGCAGCAACATCTCCATCACGATGGAATGATAAGAATTTGCAAATCTTTCAATCTTCGTTAAAAAAAACAAAAAGGGCACGAGGGAGAGATTTTGAGAACAGCTTGATTCATACAGTGAATACATTGGAAATATGGATGTAAGAGGATTTTGATTTTTCTCAAACGAGTTCCGACATTCAATGTAACCATTGATGATGATCAGATTCACATCTAAGTATCTGGCTTTACTCCAAATCACCTATTACCTTGACAGTGAAAGTGATTGTCTATTTCAAACGTAAACATTCTCCCATTCGATGATCCAAACTTCTGCAGAGTTACAATGATTCACAATCCAGTCGATGAGGACTTTTGTTTCTCACATCAGGCGTGAATGATCAAACCTGCATCCTCTGACAATAGCGCCATTTAATGAATGCCAGGTGTACGCTTCAACTTCTCTTTTCCTACCCTGTAAATCTCTGTGGAATTTATATGTTTAATTCTGATCAACTCTCAGTTTTCTCCAGCCCAGCGAGTTGAAGGGTTGTTGAATGCACCTTCTAGTATGGGAGAACCCTTTCATTCCAGGATCCACCTCAACTCACTTTTGTTGTGAACTCTGCAACACAACGTCATCATTCCTTTGAAAAGCAAGCTAAGACTGCGCATGTCGAATCATACAGGAGGCTATTTTATCCATCCTGTACTGGCTCCTGAAATAAAAGCTACCGAGCTCGTCCATTTCTAAAGCTTAATTTCTGTAACCCTCTCAATCCATCACCCTCAAATATATATCATCGCTCTTTTGAAACCTCGTGTGGAATCTGCTTCCAGCACTTTCCAAGGCAACACATTCCAAATCTCTGAGTAAAAAAAAAAGTTTCTCCACACCTGAAGAAGGGTCAGTAGACTAGGAGAGTTAACTCTGATTTCTCTCCACAAATGCTTCCAGACTTGCTGGATTTCTTTCGAAATTTTTGTTTTTTTTTCCAGCATCAGCACTTCTATCGGTTTTGCTGCTCATTTCACTCCAAGCTGTTTTGCTGATAATTCTGAAAGTGTGACTCCAAGGAACTGACATACCAACTGGTGGAAACCGAATTATCTTCTTTTCCCTGACAAAGTTTATCATATTTTTTAACACCTCAGTAAAGTTACCTCTTAATCTTCTCCAGTCCAAGGAGAATAAGCACAATTTCGCTCATCTTTCCCTGTATACAGAATCCCTCATTCTACTATTATATTAGCAAATCTCCTTTAAGCAATATTCAGGGCTTTAACATTCTCCTCAAGTAACACTATCCTCCAAATGTTGTCTGACCAATGACTGGTAGATGTGTAGCATCATTTCGTTGCTTTTATACTGTATGCCCCAATTTTTAAACCCAAGGCTCCCAGAAGCCTTCATAGCAACTGTTTCAACTTCTGTGGTTAACATCAGAGAAACATGCACGTCAACAACGATGTTTCTCTCAACAAAGAAGAAGAACAATGAACAATACAGGACAGGAACAAGCCCTTTGTCCCTCCAAGCCTGCGCAACATATTTTACCCTTCCATAATAAAACTCTCTTCATTTACAGGATCTACAATCCTTCAATTCGCTTCCTGTCATTTATTCGGAAGATGTTTCTTGAATGCTGCTATTGTGTCTACTTCCACCATCTCCTCTGGCAGCGCATTCCTGGCACTGACCACCTTTTGTGTGAAAAACTTGCCTGGCACATCTGTTTTAAATTTATCCCACGCCCCGTCCCCGCATCTTGAACTTGTGTATTCTTGTAATTGACTCCTTCACCCTAGGAACACGTCTCATACTTTACACTCCATCCATGTCATTCACAATCTTATAAACTTGTATCAGGTCGCCCCTCAACTTCCTGCGTTCCAGTGAAAACAAACTTGGTCTATTCAACCTTTCTTCATAGCTAATATACCTTACAGAAAGCAACGTTCTGGCAACCTCTTCTGTACCCTCCTGTACGAACACCCTTCTGGTAGTGTGGTAACCAGAACTGTATGCAATATTCCAAGTGTGGCCTAACTGAATTTCTGCAAAGCTCCAGCATAACTTGTCCGTCCTTATATTTAATGCCACTTGCAATGAAGGTGAGCGTATCATAGATCTTTTGACTACCTTATCTACCCAACACGCCAGCTTCAGTGATCTTTGGACCTTACCACCCAGATCGCTTTGCATATCAATAGTCTTAAGTGTTCTGCCATTCACTGTATGATTTCTACCTGTACGTGAACTTCTAAAATGAATCACTTCACATTTAAACTCCATCTACCATTTTCCTTCCCATAACTCCAACTTATCGATATCCTGTTATGTCCCCGACAAACGTCGTCAGTATTCGCTACTCAAAGAATCTTTGTGTTGTCTGCAAACTTCCTAGTTATACCAGCTACGTTTTCCTCCATATCACCTGTATAGATCACAAGTATCAGAGGTCCAAGCACTGATCCCTGTGGAATATCACTAATCACAGCCCTCATTCCGTTCTCATTCGCTGCCTCTGTCTCCTATGATTAAGTCAGTTCTGTATCCATCTTTTCACCTCATCCCCGATACCAAATGACTTCACCTGTTTCTACCAGTCTGCAAAAAAGACCTTGCCAAAGGATTTACTGAAGTCTATGTAGACAACATCAACCGCTTTTCCCTTGTCAATCATCTTCATTACCTGCTCAAAAAAATTGACCAAGTTAGTGAGGCACGATCTTCCCTGGACGAAACCATGCTGTCTATCGCTAATAAGTCCATTTGCTTCTAAATGCACATAGATCTTGTCCCTGAGAATTGTTTCCAAAGTTTCCCTTTTGCTGACGTGAGGACGATAGATCTGTAATTTTCTGGATTATCCATGCTACACCTTTAAATAATATGACTTTTCTGCCTGTTCTCCAGTGTTGTGGGACCTCACCTGTGGCCAAAGAGGATACAAAGATGTCTTTTAACGCTCCAAAAATTTGTTCTCTTGCCTCTCTGAATATTCTGGGATAGATCTTACCAGAACCAGGGGACTTATCTACCTTAATACTTCCAAAGATGCATAACACCTTTTTAACAGCAACTTGGCTTAGATAATCTATGCTCCCTTCTTTGAGATCATACTCCACCAATGCCTTCTCTTTGGTGAATACTGACACGAAGTATTCGTTTAGGACCTCACCTGCCTAATCTACATCACACATATATTCCCTCCTTTGTTTTTGTTTGGGCCAATTCTTTCTCTTGCTCCCCTCTTGGTTTCTACATGTGTATAAAAAACCTTGAGATTCTCCTTAATTCTTTTTTCTAACGACATTTCATGAACCCTTTTAGCCCTTCTAATTCCTTATTTAAGTTCTTTCCTACTTCTCTTGTATACTTCGAGGGTTTTGTCACTTAACGTGCTCCTACACCTTACGTAAGCTTCCTTTTTCTTTCTGGCCAAGATCATAACCTCTCTCGTTAACAAAGTTCACGTAACTTGCCACACCTATCCTTAGTTGTCGCAGGAACGTGCCACTCCTGAACAGCCATTTGAAAGACTCCCACGTGTCCAAGATGAATATATCCTCAAATAGCTACCTCCAATCAAAATTCTCCAATTCGTGCCTACTATTGTTGTGGTTCACCTTCCCCCAATTTACACTGTCACCCGAGGACTGCTGTTATCCCTCTCTATGAATATCTTAAAACTCATGGTGTAATGCTCCCACAACGAAACTTCACTCACCTGAGCGGGCTCATTTCCCACGTCCAGTATAACACTTTCTATGTTTGGATACTACGTCAAGAAACCCTCCTGAATGGTTACTATAGATCTGCTCTTACACTCCACTCAAAGTTGTACCATTGAGCCTGTTTTAAGAATGTTTGCCAGAGTATCAAAGCTTAATCCTTCCTGCCCTGAAAATTGATTGTAATAAGAACTGACATACCTTTGGAACATTCAGCCCTTCGAGCCTTTTATACCATTCAACGGGATCATGGCAGATCATGGACGTTTTAGTTGATTAAGGGGTGTGTTTCTATACGTCAGTTGTGTCTTTTGAACGTGCATGTCCATGTATTTTTGTGAAGCAATATTTTTTAAAAATTCAGTGCATTGAAAAGCAGACATTTAGCTCGACTTTTATGATCAATTCCAATAATGGCAAACTGAAAACATTTCAATAAAAACCGAAAGAACTGCGGATGCTGTAAATCAGACTCAAAAATAGAAAATGTTGTAAAATCTCAGCGTGTCTGTCAGCACCTGTGGACAGAAATCTGAGTTATCGTTTCTGGTTGAATGACCCTTCGTCAAATCTATTCTGAGGTCGGGTCATTCGACTCGAAACGTTAACTGAAAATATTTATTCTTCTTTGTTTATGCAGTGCCTAAAAACACCGTGCAAGAATTTAAATGCAAGAAATTGGTTCATGCTGATATATTATACATTATATGATATATCATGTATATGGCATCGATAAGGTGGAGAACTGAGATTGTGAGAACAACACAACTAAAAATTGGGAAAATTTGGAATTTTTTACAGATGTAAGACAGCGTAGAATACTTACTATTTGGGAGAAAGACAGAGAGAGGGAGAGAGAAGGAGAAAGAGAAAGAGAGATAGAGACAGAGAGAAAATAATTAAATCAGTAGAAAGTGAGATTTTATGTCATTGTACGAGTTGTAAAATCCCGTTCTTTACTTAAAGTCGCACCCAAGTGTTAAGAGCATGGGATTAAGCAAAAATTAACACCTCATTTTTTCATAGAAACTTATACTGTGTACCGGAAACTAATATGACACTGATTAAGTTTCACAATTTCAGAATCTCTGTTTATGTCTCGTGGCATGCAATGGATTGAAATTTCGTCGTTGTCGGTGTGGGTTGGGGGTGGGACGGGGTGGGGCGGGCGTTAGAAAGATTTTCAAGTCCCTGTGGCTAAATGTCACCGTCTCTCAAGTACCCTGATATCTTTCTTTAAATGTTGTCTTAAAACATTTAGAAAGGAAACAGTCTGTCTGCTAAATTAAGATATTTTGCTCATTGGGATACACACTATGTTATAGCAGCAAAGAGAAATTGATACAATATTAGTGACTTATCAATGATGTCGAGGGTGAATCATTTTGACTGGGTTCTAACCGAGGTGACCATAGTCATGTCATTGTTTCAAATGTACCAGTTTTATGGACTTTACATAAAATTTCTAATTTTCTTTTCTTATCTGTTGTTTGTAGGACTGGTGGCAATCGCCAAGCAGCTGGGACTCAGACTCTCGGCTCCAAGGAATAAAATCACAGTGATGCTGATGGGCAACCATTCAGCTGGGAAAAGTTCCTTCATCAATTGGTGAGCAGACCAATCTCATGTTTTCTATTGTGGCATTGACGAAGGCTGGGACGGATGCATTCACTGGAAATGTTTGAAGAGTATTCACTGGATACAGACGTCCACCTTAGCCATCGGGGTCACTTCCCAGCAGATAGGGCGGATTTATGAAAACGGTGGCTTGATCTGACCAATCTAGTGAGGCTTTTTATGCAGGGCGCCTTGTAGAAAATGGAACAGAATGTATATTATTTATTTACAAAACAGTGAACAAAACTTGACAAAAAGTGTGTCTTAATACAAGAACAGCGTTACACTTGGAGAAATTATACAAGACAAGAAGTGGTGAAAAATGCCACAAAGACTGAAAAGGTAAAGCCACGATAGTCTTACCAGAACATTGAGTTGCTGTCTCGTCAGAGACAGACGATTGGAGGTGGTTTAACATAAGAGTCACCATGCCTCAGGCGAGTTGAAAGCTTGAGAATGTATGGTCACCTCAGGCAGTGCAGGGATGGACCCACAGTATTGGCATTATTATACACCGAAAACCAGACGTCCAACCAACTGGGAAGGAATAATGAAACAAAGACAAGTGCCAATTTAATTTGGAAAGCACAATGATGACAAAAAGGTAAAGTTAAAGGCATTGTACATTTATTATATGTTTAGGGGCTCCATTATTTCTTTTTCTTGTCTGCTCCTTTCAGATTTGCCCTCAAATCGTCCGCTCATCATATCGATTTTGATTGTCTGAGTCAGGGCACTCACACTGCCTATTCATGCTGTGGATATTTATAGCCTGACACACCATCTCTACTGCCTCTGCTCCTGTCAGCAATACTGACTGCATGCCTCAGTTTCCACACGACTTCTAATCTTCTCAGTAATACGAAGTGTGTACATCAGGGTCCTCACTGCCTCAGCTCCTTTAAGTCATACTGACTGCTTATCTCAGAGCCCACACTGCCTATGATCCTCTCAGTAACACTGACTGTGGGTCTCAGGTCCTCACTGCCTCTGTTCCTTTAAGCAATACTGACTGTGTCTCCACGTCGTCCTTGACTCTCCTCCTTTCAGTCATACTGGCTGTATTTCTCAGGATCCTCACTGCCTCTGTTTCTCTCATTATTACTGAATCCCTGCCTTGGTATCATCATTGCAGAAATACAATGAACACAACTTCTCCTCCAGTGCAACTTTGACCATGATCATTCACATATTGTGCCTATTTCAATGAAATTTAGCAGATGACAACCGTTCTCTGGCTCATTTCTCAAGGCAAAATTTTGAAATCATTAGCCCTCCAATCTGTGTTAATATTTAAATAAAGCGTGTCAATTAACCATCAGCCATCGCCTGACTGGCACTTTCTCCATGGTAACAGCTCGATCAGTCAGTCTATTCATCAACTCATGTGCTATCCCTTCCATTAGAGTTCAGGTATTGTTGTCCCTTTACGTTGATACGTATTGCTAATTATCTTGGTCTCAGCAAGTCAAATATTTTCAGCAAAATGCGTTTTTCCTCAGCAATAGCCAAGTGTATGACCCATGGACTGTAAGAATGATATTTGCATGTTGAATCGTTAAAAATTTTAGGTACATTGAGGAACATATACAGAAAACAGGAGTTGCAACCGAGACACAAGGATTTCCATTTGTCACCAGTGGAAAGAAAAGGGAGTCACTCCTGGTGAGTAATATCATGAATCATCGCTGAGCTTTCACTCATCTGAGATCCCTGAACACAGGCGAGTGGCGAATGTCAAAGAGCAGGGAGCCTCTTCTCGAGTACACTTACTGGAATTCTTAGTAATCATCACATTCGATGTCATTATTTTCTTCACTTACGTCTGGTGGCTTTGACCCGCTTTCTCAGCCCCAATGACACTGAACGGAAATTATTGATTAATAATAATAATAATAATAATAATAATAATCACAATTTCATTATTTAGGCCAGTTTGAATTGCGTAATGCTTGGCCAATGACCATTGCTGCATTGATAGGGACCAGATGCAGCTTACAGTTGTGTATCTGAAAGACAAATTGCAATGCCGTTGCTGTCGTCCTGACAACTGAGAAATAAACTAACACACACAGCACTGATACAGTTAACTTTGTTCTTCGAAAAGAAGTGGGGAATTGCTGACAAGATCAGAATTTGGTCGCCATCCCTAATTGCCTTTGAACTGTAAAATAAAGCGAAGCTAAATTGTGAATGCTGGAAATCTGAAACAAAAACAGAAATTGTTGGACAAACTCAACAGGTCTGGCAGTATCTGGGGAGACAGAAACGAGTAAATCTTTCGGGTCCATTGATCTTTCTTCAGAATTAATGGTAGCTTAGGAAAGGGGAATATATGACAGGGGATGTGGGGTAAAGAAGTAAGCGAGCTCAGCACAAGTTCATTTTCCGCTTGAGGACACTGCAGCCTTCAGGAGTCAATACTGAGTTCAACAACTTTAGAGCCTGACATGGGCTGCTTTCAGCACAAGCAACCGATTTTCACCCAACAATGGTCCCCATTAGCAGCTTTTCTTTCTCCTGGCTCACCATTATCCTTCCCTTTGCTTGCCTGGCTGTCTTCCTTGGACTCTGTCTCCCGCTATCACTCACGATTCCCCCACTGTCCACCTTTTTTTTCTCTCCAACGGTACTGTCGGATCTGTTGAGTTTCTCCGGAGATTTCTGTTTGTGTTGCCCTTGAACTGATTAGTTTTCTAGGCACTTTGCAGGTCCTCGAGAGTGAACCGCATTGCTGTGAGCCTGGAGTCACAGGAATGACCAGATCAGATAAGGGCATCAGGTGTGTTTGCTTAAACGGCCTGAGGGAATCAGCTGTCCTGCTCGTGGCCTGGAGTCACGTGTCAACCAGATGAGAAAAGATCGATCTGTTGCCTTGCCTAAAATGGTGTTAGTGAATCAGATTTTCTGTCTGTTTTCATAAATGAGGATCTTTTGATGCTTATCATTATAGAGATGAATTCCAGATACATTACACATACAGTAAACCCATGGTTACGGTGACATTTGAGCCCATGTCCCCACAGCGTTAGTCTGGGATTCAGAATTACTCGTGTGGTCACATTCACGCTCTGCAACCGTCACTCCCTGACTGGTTCCGTATTTGCATTCTTTGGAACAATATTACAAATGCTCATATACCAAATGGTAAAGTCACTATCATCCTAGTATTTCATGAAAGAGAAAGATGACTGGTGGTGATTTGTTCTGAGGTTCACCACGTCTCACGCGAGGAGAGAGGTTGAGAAGGAGAATCCTTCATGATCACCTCTGCAAGTGTGGGAATTGAATCCAGTGTACTGTGTTCACTCTAGTGAGTACACCTGCCACTCAGACAACCGAGCTAACCGACCCCTCTTACATCACCAGGGTTATGAAAAAAAAACTTGTTTGCAGGACTTTGCATCTGTAGTCTTTAATCATTTTCCTTGTTTACACAGGGTCATGCTACATTACATCTCTATCCACAATTCCAAGCTCTGGAACAGATCGAAGGTACATTCACGATAATTTAGATTTTACATGAAATAGGAGAAGAAACGATAGCAAAATGTAAGGTATGCAGGGTAGTTTGATCTTAGACTAGGGTAATAGGATGGCACAACATCGTGTGCCGAAGGGCCTGTACTGCGCCATTCTCTTCCATGTTCTATGTTCTAAATAACGGCTATGCATGTCACATCAATCAAATGAAGCTTCACAATGTTAACAATGTAATGATTTCCTGCAAGTTATCAGGGGCAGTCAGGATCAATTTGTTAAGGGAATGTGATGTTTGATAAATCTGATGACACTTTTTGAGGAAGTAACCAGGAGTGTTAATGAGAGTCATGCACTTGATGTGTCTCCATGGATTAAGCAAAGCTTTGAAGAAGGACTTTAATGGCAGACTGGTGATAGAGGCCAGAGAGTCCATCAGGCACAGGATTAGATGGTGCATTGGACCCGAAATTGGCTCTGAGAGAAGAAGCACAGTTTGATGGCGAACGGCTGCTTCTGTAACTGGTCGTTGGCTTTCACTGGCGTTCAGTGGAACTTGGTGTTGGGGCAATGGCACTTTGTGGTGTGGATTAATATTTTCGACATAAATGTAGGGATTTAATCACGAAGTTTGCAGCTGTTATAACATTTGGTATGTTGATAAATAACTGGGTTGACAGCTGTGAACTGAAGGAGGATATGAATTGCCTGATCTGATGGGCAGAGCAATGTCAAATGGAAGTAAACCGATAAATGTGTAAAGTATTACACTGGGGGAGGGCTAACAAGGCAAGCAATTGTTCTCTGAATGGTAAGACCCTGGAAAGATCTGAAGACAAGAAAGATCTTAATGTGCAGATTCAATAAATCCCCAGAGGCAGCGGGAGCAGGTGTATAATATGGTTCAGAATGCGTATGAAATATCTGCATGTATTTGGCAAGGCATATTCCAGAAGAGCGTGGAATTTACTTAAAACAGAAAGGTAGTCTTAAAGTGGTTTGGATTGACTATTGTGGACGCATGAAGGAAGTGTATGAGGGAGTAACAACGTTGATATGACATTCCGTGGATTGGTATTTCAGGCAGCATGCATAACCAACCTGAAGGGATGGGGTTCCTTCTGCATTGTAACATTCTGTTACTGACTGCTTTATGCCATAATTAATATTCCGTACAAAATTGAAGATGCTCTGCATTTGCAAATGTTAAGCCACTAATGATGTCTATCATATACTGAAGGTGAAAGAATAATGCATTCATTATTTGTGATTTACATTGTTACCCTTGAAGTATTTTGATACAGAACTTTGCAAACCAAACGGCATGAGATGGAGAATCATTTATTTACCTTTGACTTTCCTTGCTTCTGCAGGAGTGACAGACTACCTGACGACTGAGATCAGCACCTCAAAGCAGAAAATGTTTTTCCTGGTGACCTTCATAGATACACCAGGCCTTGTGGATGGAGACATGTCCTACGAATTCGATGTGGATAAGGCTTTGATCTGGCTGGGTAACACTTTTTAGTATTTGTGTTTGTTGACTTTAGAATAACCGAGCTGTTTTCTGACCTTCTTCAGGGTTAATGACTGATTCTAATCATAGAAAAAGTAAAGACATTGTAGTCCTCCAAGTCCATGGGGCTGCTCTCTCATTGGAGAGAGAAGACTGGTGGTGGTTTGGCCTGAAGGTCAGAACATCTCAGACGAAGGAAGAGGTTGAGAAGGAGAGTCATTCATGGTAATCTCAGCTGTTGCTGGAATTAAACCCATCCTGCTGGTGTCACTGGGGCCAACTGAGCTAACTGACATTACCTTTAGTGACAGTATGACTTGCTGACACAGACGTTAAAATGAGGTAAACTGATGGCTTCACCTCCCACTGAAATACTTGATCACCCAGTTACAGTTTTGATGGCATCACTTATTTGTTTAGTTTGTATTTGTTAAGAGCAAAAACGCTGTTTGAAAAAAATATCGACTCTGTGATGAATATCTTCAAAAGAGAGACATGTACATTCGTAAAAGACAGAATGAAATGAAGACTACGATTTTGTGCTTTGTGATGTTAAATTTAAGAAACCAAATCTGCAGATTTTGCCTACAGCAAATATTTCAATCTACAGGGAAAATAGTGCTTGCTTCAATAAACTGACAATTGATA